ACATGAGGACAACATATTGAAGAAGGAAAATCAAGAAAGGACAGACTTATCATGATTTAAAGAGCAGACAAGAACAATATCAACTATGAAACAAAGCCACGATTATGACCGAAGACAACAACACATATGAACAACTCTATTGAAAAAAGTCTAATGGTACCACATGTAATCTAAATTCAAGCAAGAACTTAAGAACGGAATCACAATGTAGACACCTATACCCCATAGCAGATAACAAACCTGGAATGTATTGCACACCCAAGATCCACAAAGAATAAGCACACTCATAGTGAAGTTTACTGGTTCAATAGGCTACAATGTCTCAAGGTCACTATAAGATGTTTTAGGACCACTGATGGGATATGCAGAAAACAGGAAATTCCCACAATTCTTAACAAAACTATCGGAAACTCATTTCAAATGATGTAGTATCACTTGTCTGTAACATATTTACAGACAAAGCATTTGGTATCATTCGAAGTCGTCTAGACCAGCAACAGTGGTCATTGCGAAAAAAACGGCAATCTTCATATCCATGACATCATGGGTGTATTCGTATTTGTGCTTACAACAATATATTTGACTTTCCGATAAACTATCTATAGGAAACTGTTTAGTATAGCCAAGAACAACCCAGTGTTTCCGATTGTGTCAATTTTATCAATTGAAACCATAGAGAAAGAGGCGTTAGCCTCGGGCCTCGTAGCATACAAGACTATTATGTGGAAACGATATGTTGATGTCATATTGGAAATACTCTCAAGTACGATATTTGCATCTGCATTTAATCAGAGTAGGTATTTCAGTAACATCAAGTTTACCCGTAAGGCTATCATCGATGCAACTATGCTATTCCTTACCACCCCTCTAGTGAATACCATGGTGCTATCAAAGCATTGTTCTAAAGGGGAAAGACGAACAAGGTCCAAAACGTTAATTTTGACCGCACCAACCCAACACCATGAACCTGTGCGTTTCAAAAGTCGTGAAACTATTTTCACAGAAAAACAGGACAAACAGGATACCCTTCTTGGACAAAGGAAGAAAGTTCACTACGGGAAGTAAAGGAAAGACTAAGAGAATAAAAACCGAGTAAAAGAAAAAACATTGAACAGTCTAGTCCACTTTAAGGATAAATCGCCCAAAGAGAACGACGCATGGTACGTATACAAGATTGTAACTACGACACATCGTATATCGAAGAAACAGACAGGATATTCAGGGACTGACTCAATGAAAATAGCACACCTATGGCCAATAAAAAGCGTAGCCGAATCGACCACATTACATTATTACTATCTTTTGTGCTTATTCCGAAATGGTTTTACTATCTCGCCACACTATTATCTTCCTTAGTTTATATAGGACTGCAGTGCAGTCGCAAATATTGGTCGATCAATTACCATTCCGTACACACATACATATCGGCAATTTGTCTGATGAAGGTGACAGTGTAGTCTTCGAAACGTCACACTGAACTCTTTTACTGTCTCTGTAGCTAGGTTTGATAATCTTCTCAATGAATTTAGTCTATACACTTTGTATACGTTGTGTTTGCAATTAAAGTAAAAACGCAACAATCGTGTTTAAATCTGTTTATTTAAAAAAGAATATTATTATAAAATCTAAACTCGATCTGTAGTTACATTTTAATCATGTAATGAATGATCTGATGTTGTGATATAAGGATAACTAAAACGATGATGACGAAGATGAAAGTAACATGATAAGGATACCACTATGACAGTAGTTCATTAAACAAACGTTTGTATGATCTACGAAAAAAACGTTCAGTTCAACTTAACAAGCTCTGATACAAACATACATCAAGTATTGGTCTTCCATGCTTTGTTAACGTTAGTTGAATTCGGTTTTACAAAAATACTTGATGATTTTCAGATAAATATTAAATTTGAATACTTCATCACTGCGACTAATTACAAAACGTCACATATTTTGTTTTCTTCTATACTTTTCCAAACAATACACTAGAAGAACCCCAACATATTTTCCTTGTTTCTGTTAAGATCATTTAAGACTCATAAAAATATTTTGGCCATACCTATGATATATCTCTCTCATTCTTTCTTTCTTTTGCAGCATCTTTCTATCAGATATAGGATTTATTAGGATATCTTTAGAATAATATCATCAAGTAACAAGTTTAATAAGCTATGTCAAAAATAAAATATTCAGTCATAATCATGGCACCTGTACATTTACATTACTACATTGCATTTTCGAAACAAGCCACTGCTTGAAATATTGACTGGCCAATGAAACAAATAACATGATATATATACATTTTATTTACTTTTATTGATGTTAAGTCGTAACCATGTTAAAATTGAATTTCCCCATAGTTCTAATATATTCTTGTATTACAAGCGGTTTTTCGATTGATTTTTCACACAATTACAGTGCAAATATCTATTTTGAAAACTCATGTAATATAGATCAAACTTCTTTTAAAAAAATAGAATGACCATAAATAAGTTGAAATAAAAAAAATGTAAGTTTATTTCAAATGATATACATGAGAAGAGTATTCGTTGTTTCGTCCATGTTATGTTAACATAACTACTTCGCTACAATCACAACCAATGGCCCGACCAATCACTGTGGAATGCTAACGACTAACACTTTGGTGAGTTACATTCATTTATCACCAATCGCTTTCAAAACTCAATTGACGATGGAATTGGAGTTTTACATACAGGATAATCAAAACGTCATGCCTTGATTGTCATTTTGTTTAAAGTATTCTTTTTTATTTCATTTTAAAATAGATCACCACCCAATAATAAAATCGCATGGACCTATTTATTCTCATCATTATCTAGATCAGGGAATGTATCCCTGGTGACGATCCAGAGATTAAGAGTTCATATTCAGGGCGGAACACTTAGACATCGACGAAGTACTTAAGGCAGTATATAACTTTGTACGTTTAAATCATGCATTTTCATACTCATTTGAAAACAAATATTTCCAAATCCTCATTTCAGTTATACAAAAGATATCACAGAATTTAACATCTGCATCGGAAGTTTCAAATTTAGAATATAGTATGTCGTGTTATTCAAAGCAAATGCCATTCCAGAAAACTGAAAGTGCAAATAAATATCCTAGTATATTCGTTGCTAGTTCTGTAGCCATGCTATAACTTAAATAATCAGTTTTCATTATTTTAATGCCAAAAGATGGAACTGATCGCAAATTTTGTCAATTCTAAATCTAAAGTAACTAAATAAAAGAAAATCATTTTAATTTTTGGTTTCATTTCTCATAAAACGGCATTTCATGATGCATTTATTCAGCTTTTCATGAAACACCAAAACAAAAGTATCCCTTGAATATTTTTGAAGACAAGTGGAAGAAAGCATAATTTCCATAGCAATATCTACATGTCAATACTTATGATATTTCAATCAATAAGGAAACTTATAATAATTGGACGTCAATCAAATGTGAAATATTGTAATTAGATTCAAAGTCTTTGTTACGTCATAACGCCAATAGTTCGAACTGCAACATCATAGAATAGCATTGATAACACGAACGATAACATTTGCAGTATCCATGCGAATGAATTGATTATATATATCCATGACGTAATGAATGTTATGAAATGAAAAGTTATCACGATGGATGAATATACACGTACCAGCAGTTTTAATGTGACCACATCTATGGTGCTACCAGAACCAAATTCTATGATTATCAGGTACATCATTTGCATAGTAAGCTTTATAGTATAACACATATATATTATCATCAGCTGTAAACATAATGTAACTAAAACTAAAAATGATTATATTGTAGTTACGTCATTTGTGTGTCCTCTTAAAGTCTAAAACCGAAAGTGTTCTCATTTGGTGTTTTCATTTACTGAACCAGATTAACAGGCCCAGTGCGTTCATATTTCAATAGAATGCATTAAATGAAGGTATGTGCTTCAAACATACAATCATACTTGATGCAATTGGTTTGTAAATAAAAGTTTACCCCATACTGAGTGGCACTCTTTATCTCGAGATGCGTTGGCCTGGTGACGGCAAATCTGCCGACAGATTAACGTCAGTAGAATGTCCGTTATAACGTTGGAAAATTTTATTTCTATGATATCGGATTGATTTCAGTAACGCTTCACATTGCGTCTGACATCAACTGAAAGGATGGCACTTCCGGTTGCGCTGTGCATCGCAACACTTTGCCCGCGACAACACAGTTCAATTACTGTTACTCTAATCTTTACACCAATTGGCATGAAAGTCATCCTTCCCAGCACAAGGTCGATGAACAGTCTACCCATGCACTGACATTGCAAGCTATCACCATAAAGAGCCATATCAAAAAGTCACCACATCGCTGAAATGTTGTACACTACACTCTGATGAGATTTAGTGAAAAGCAGCATACGATGTCAATAAAGTAGTGAATAGCTCTTTTATGGCTGGCATAATATCTAAAATGAGGACGCCTCCTCAGGTAACATAGGGCTTCACAATCTTAATCACAGTTCTTCGGTGAGAGAACACGTTTAATCACCTGATGTGAATGATATCACTCGCTCTATATAAATCTAAATTAGTACGAAAATACTCTACGAAATCAGCAGTCAGTCCATTATGACGTTTTCAAGCCACTAAAGATATCCAATGACACCCATTTGCAGCAGTGTAACCCCATTAACGGCAAAATAATCGATTTTTTTCAAATAGTGGACATATCCGGTTTGCATCAGTTGTTGACTCAATCCAGAACTTACTTGACCCTGATTTGTCACACACAAACATTCAGATTAGCGAGGTAACACTAGATGCTAATATTGCATGTACCATATCACAAAATCGTCTCCAGAAATATCGATGTACACACACGGTTATGGGCGGATATCACTCCGGAGTTCGATCTTCACAGGCAAAAAGTATGTATGTAAACGTTGGACATTTTCTATATTGCACAAAAAACAGCACCGCGTTCTTCTCAAACAAACATCAGAAATAAACTGTTATTTCTGGTTTTTCTTTGGACTTTCTCATTTCCTTTGGAAGGGTCTCCTGAAAATATAAGAAAATACAATGAAGTAACATCAGCACTCTTTACAAATGTTGTATATCGTAATGTGTTTTTATTTAATTACCGAATTCGACACAAAGAAGAGAAAGTTTCAAAATATCACAATTATTCTTTTCTTTTGTTATAAGATATTCTCCTAGATTTAATTTTAACTCATTGGTTGGTTTAGGCTGTTTCTACGTCTGTATTTGCTTCAAAAGATATTATTCATTTGTGAGTCGTTTATACAATCTAAGACTGATTTGATTTATCGATCTACTATCCAACACAACAAATATGTGTTTATTAGTCTTTTTCGTTATCTAAATACATAACATTTCATTACAATTGATTACAGGAAGCTTGTTGTTAACTGCTCGTAGATCAGTAAATAATTTGATGTCTAAAAGGGGAAGCCAATATTTACTATGTAAATACCATGTCTATTGCCAGACGAAGCGAAGAAAATTTTGACTATGCTCAAACCATCTAAAATATAAATGCCATTTCGAATACGGACGGCAGTTTTAAGAAATAGTATGTCATCTTGGGCTGCGAAAATGTATTTAATATTGGTACTTATCAGTGATGCTAGAGGCGATCAGAAATACAACACTCTTGATTTTAATAGATTAGCTTTGATTTGCTTATTAAGTTTATCATTATTTGACATATGATCCAATGTCAGTTAAGGACTGTTTCGTCTGTTAATGCGTTGGTGGATACTGCCGAAGGCCAACCGGCAGGAAACAGCAAAGCTATACTGACAAGGCATGAACCACACCCAATAGTAACATTACCTTAGCAATGTCCTTCACATTAACAAGCAAAGGGTAAACGCTAAGGGAGAGGGGGTATACTTAAGAAACTATTACAATTTGCGCGCTTCCTAAATGAGTGATGAAATATCGGGTTACCTCTGAACTCCGATCGTTGGTGTCACCCCAGGAAAGAGTTTTGCCTTTAGATAAGGAGGATGACTTGTGGGGTCGGATCTTCATTAGGCCCCGGTTACTGTCACCAGTGCTGTCACTGTTACTACTTTCCCCACTACTGCTTCCCTCAGGAACATGAAATGTTTTAAGCATCCCGTTTTGGAATGTATGACGCTCTTCGTAATTATGAAATGAATTTCCATAAGGAATCACAGCTGTATCCAATTGAATTTCACCACTTCCGTCGTTAGAGTGGTTGGAAAATCCATAATTCATTCTATCATCTGATAACGGATTCTCTTGTATGGTTGTTGCTCCGTCTATATCTGAAGTTTCCTCAAGGTCACCGTCAAATTTCATGTCTAACTCGACGGGATCCGGAGATGGATCGCCTGGTTTGTATGTCAATCCCTTAGGGTCAAGGCCATCCTGCAATCTCGCTTTCGTTAACTGCTCGTCTGTGTATGATACTCTCCTGTAATTGGAGATACAAAAGTTTGATCAGCATGTTGTGTTAAAAAATGCTCAATATACATATTTTATCAAATACTGATACAATGTAATGTGTTACATTTCCATATTAAATTGGCCTTTTCTCCAGAAAAAGAATTATTTATTTTTCAATTTAGTAAAAATGCAAGTATACATGCAGACAGACAGTCGGGGCAACATATGATTTTTCTAAACAGTTAAACGTTGACTAAGGCTGACTGTATAAAATTTTTGAAAAGTATTGGCTATTGTAGAATTTTGTCTCTATTTTCTTATTCCAGCTACGTTAAACTTACCTTCGTATGATATATACTATAAGAATAATGATGATAACGAAAAGGACTGCTGCTATAGCGCCCATGATGATAGCCAGTAAGTCATTCCCTCCGTCCGCCATTTTGCCCTGAGTCTCCACAACACCTTCACCAAGAGACCGAAAATTCACCGTTACCAAGGCAACCGTGGACCGCGGAGGAACACCATCATCGGATACCCTGACTACTAACAAATAACTGTCTTCCACCAGATCCTCCGGGGATGATGTTATGCTGATGTCTCCCTCGGAATTAATAGAGAAGAACCTGTGTGAAAAACAATTCTATTTTTATTCCATAATCAACACATTAACAAAGGAAAACATACAACAATGACGTCATTGATTTACTGATGACGAATACACACATAGCTGATACGTCATCAGCATAAAGTTAAGAAATATTCCTGAAAAAAATTGTAAGGATAACTGCCTTAATACTATTCCATAATCAACACATTAACAAAGGAAAACAAACAACAATGACGTCATTAAATTACTGATGACGAACACCTATAAATGACACGTCATAAGCATACAGTGGAGAAAAAATCCTCAGCTCTCATTGGTTAAAGAACATATTCGTTTGATAATGTTTCTAGTGTTTAAATATGCTCTGCATTCAAATTTTGATGAAGTTATAATAACTGACCGTGCAGACCCAACTCTAAAACTGCCAGCGTTATTGAAGAACACGGTCAGTTAAATATCCTGATTAAATACACACAGGGAGTACCGTCGAGAATATATCAAGTCAATTAAGATAGGAATGGGTCTAGCATTGAGGTAAACATGCGACAGTCTTATCAAACAGTAAACCTATGTCTCAAACACAACAGAAACACATTGGCTATGAGATAACGAATATATAACGAAGATAAACAGTGAGTTGTAAATAAATATACATTTTCTGTCTAAATATCATGGTTATCTGGGGTCAAAATTTTTAAAAAAGTGTTGTCAGCAAATTTTCAAATATATTATAGAAACAACCGTATCTCATGATGACAAACATTTTTAAACATATATACTCATATTTGAGTAATTGTAAAAGAAAAAAAAACATGATGACATCTGTTAGTCCGGAAATAAGTTGTTTTCAAATGAAATATTAATTGTTTTAAACATAGTTACAATCCACTGATGATAGCTTCAACAAATATAGCCATGGCATTTGTAGGAAAGTAAAACGAAACGACGTGCTCTCTTATATTAACACGAAATATTAATCGTTTAAAAGGTTATATATACAATCTAAATTCGATTAATATATAAACTTAATGATATAATACTCACGATGTGAATGTTTTTAGCTGGTAATACAGCTGAGTGTTGCCATCCTTGTCAGAAGCCTAGAGGAAGGAAATCACACTAAGATGATTAATCCCTTATCGACAAGTATAAAGAGCACTAATTCGACATGCGTGACTTTTAAATGGTGATTAAAAATTCTGACCCCTTATACTGATACATTATACAAACACTACGGCTGTTTACTAATGGTAATGGTATTCACTCAGGTCTAAATACACGAAGTACTTTTCAATAGGGAGGCAACTCATTTAGGATATTACCTACCACGATAATGTAATTTTGTGTTAGCAGAATGGGAGGCTGAATATATATTTTGGATATGCGTGAATACATTCACACGAATAAAAAATAATAATGAGTATAATGGGGTAAGATTTTATATCCTATTTTCCTCAACATAAAACTCATGAAATATCATTTTTACAATTTGTTTTTATTTATTATTTTTTTAATAATTATCAAAATTATGATGATTTTAAGACATATCCTCATTGTATCCATTACATATCATACTAAATTTCAGTCATTTGTCTACTGATTTTGGATCATTATAAACCATATCTCAAATCGTACGAGCGTAACAAATACACATAACATGGAATTATATAAAAGTTAAGAAAAAATACAATCTGAAACACGAAACTAAAATCGTCATCATATATGGATGATCCCATGTCCTCAGGAATATTTGGAATACATCTTATGTTCAGAAAATTCAACGCCCGATGTCATACCAGTTTGTGAATATGATTATGTTATCCTGGCATAATATAAGCCATGATATTCGGAACTTCTCTATAGCTCGATCAGGTGATTGTTAAATTAGTGACGCAGCGGTCCCGGGTTAGAATCCTAGCGTAGGCATTGCTATATATAATGACCTTTTTAACATTAATATATGATTAATATCAATTTTGCTTTTTTATATAGTCTGACACTCAAATAATGAATTTCTCGTGGAAATATAATTGCAGCAATACCTTAATAACAGTGATTATCGCGCCCTGTATTCTTTCTGTTTCCACTGTGTACTCATCATTCCGAAGTTCCGGGGTATTGTCATTGACATTCTGGACTCGAATGTGAATAGACGTAGACGCCACCTGGTGACAACAACATTACACATTAGGAACAATAACTCAAAACAGCTTCCAAAACTTCATGTGTCTATTTGGACATTATCTATAAAGAGTACACAATAACGTGTGTATTTATGAAAGGGTGACAGTGTAATCTTCGTAAATAATTGTAATTTGTACGGTATACATGTAAAATAAAACGACCTATTAAAGGTGTAAACGATTGTTACGTATAAAGCATGTATTACTTACATGTACACCATCAGAAACCTGCAGTGTAAATCGATATTCCTTGTCGGGACCGTCATAATCCAGAGCCTTGACTAGAAATATGTTTCCCCTGAATTAAAAAAAAAATATCACAAAAGTTTAATATCACGTTAAACCTTGCTTTTATTCATTAGTGAACTGTTAATTTTTGAACACTTTAACGATTTTAACATCGATAATTTATTATGAAAGTAGTGAATAACGCCACATTCTTCCCCGCGAAAGGGATGGTTAAGTGATATATATCAGCACTGCCACATCTAGCCAACTTGGCGCATTGGCTCTGCGTCGGTATTACTACGGCCAATTGTGATTTTTAAGTGTTACTTCAACGGAGCTCAGCCGATTTTCTCACCGTTGTTGCTTTTGTGTTCCAGTTTAGCTCCGGCTACTTACGTCGGTAGTGTCAGGGCATTACAAGAAGAGGTATTATCTAAGTCGACTTCTGGTATACATATAAAATCTCGGCTTTCTTTTTCTTAGACATTTACATTAGGGGCACCGTGGAAACAGTGTATATACCAGGGTACTTTTACAGGTATCTCAACTTCCTCTGATTGTTTATCTCCGAATACAATTCATACATATCCGAAAGTATAAGCAGAAACGTTTGCTTAATTTCGACAACTCCCATGTTGAAATGTGTATTTTAAGTCTTTTCTAGTTTCTCATACCGTGACCAGCTTCGATGTAAGATCATCAATTGAATATAGATTTCCAACCGAAAGAAAGAACATTTCCAATCATAAGCAGAGTATATGTAAGTACACCACGAATTTGCAAGCATGAGTAAAGTAAATGGTATTACGTTTTAAGATGTCTACAATGTTCCGTCTTATTTGTGTATTGAAGTATATTGTACAAATTAAGGTAGCTGTAATACGTTAGATTCTATATTCAACCATCACTTTCACAATCACACCTACCTCTGGTCTACCGCAAATTCCAGTATACTTTCCATAATAGTGTAACTAAGTGTTGTAATCTGAAATGAATGTCAAGATTCATATTCTTTACTCAATATTTTCTAAATTTCATTTGAGTAGAATATCTTTTAAACACTAGTTGATGGAGAACACAAATTTTGGCATTGCATTACATTGTAGAAAATACTTTGGTTTCTGCAACACGTTCATTGGTTATGTTTTAACATTTACACTGAAAATAACGTATATCAATATCTATTTTTAACACAGCATACTTTAACTCATTACATGTAACTTGATAAGGGACATACATACTGTTTGCAAAATATGATTGGATCTCGGTTGTAAATACAAATATATGAAAATTCAAACGGAGATTATGATGAACAGATGTTACATAATGGAACTACGGTGTGTTCCCCCATTATGTGATCAGTACCCTTGCAGGAGTTGTGTTTAGCCATGAGCGTGACAGATTAATGGATGATAGAAGTTTTGTTCAATAGTGCATTATACATGTAAATATTGGCACCTCAATTTAAGCGTTCTTTAACTCAGTTTTTAATTTATTACGTATTAATGAGTCTAATGACGTTTCCGTAATTAATGACAAGAAGATATAAACTTACTGCATTGCAGACGTTAACCGGAACTGTCATGACAGTTGTTCCGGAAGGTTGGCTCTCCGATATGGTAGTTTCGTACAAATTTTGTGGGAAAGAGGGACCATCTGACAGACTTGAATTGTATCCAGACACAACTATCTGCACCAAAGCTGCGCCGTATCGCAAAGGATTGTCCCGCTGTACCGCCTGTAGAAGAAACGCTAGAGTAGTCTCCCTTTCTTATTAAAAAAAATGAGGGGTTTGTTTGTTCTAGTCACTTAGATATATTGTTACTGGATCCCATCCGGATACTGTTTTGTGAAAACTAACACTACGTCATAAGAATGATCAGGATTCTAAGAATAATACAAACGCAATACATTGAAAAGTACGTTCCGATACGATTTGGATTGCATTCAAATATCTAAAATGCTTCAAAAACATATATATCTAACTATGGAAACGTTATTACCTAAAAAAAACTATATTTTTACTAAATTAGCAATTGAAATGACAATGTATATTTATATCTAAGATAAAGTCTAATCGCGCAAAGTATTCTCTCACACCCACAACCCATTTTTTCACTTCCTGTGCGTGATTACATCACACCATCTGTAGAGTCATTACAAGATACAAGATGTCGGATATATACGACACTGAGCTTCAAAATATATATATTTTTTTTATGAATTTTTAAAAAAAGTTTCAGTAAAAAGGTTACATGAGGTTATTCTGTTTTTATTGTGGATCCAATAACATACAAAGTCATCAGCATACCTTAAGTATAGCTGAGTATGTCGTCTCCGACAATTGTGCCTCCACTGTTATCTGGCCTGTGATTTCGTTGATAATGAAACGATTTTTTGGGTCTGTGAAAAATGCAAAGAAATGATAGACAAAATAAGATTAAGAAATGTCTTATCCATATTTATCTGAATACAATGTTATCAAGAAATGCTTTTATAAACCGCTTCAAAATCATGATTTCTATCCTTTCGCATTACTCTGTTTGGGTTTAACATACTTTACAAGATTTTTGATAAGCAGAAGTATGAATCACGACATGACAAAAATCGTGATAGAGTTATGACCTCCATCGTAACAAAACACTCTGGTGTACAGCTTTTACAAAACACTCTGGTGTACAGCTTTTACAAAACACTCTGGTGTACAGCTTTCACAAAACACTCTGGTGTACTGCGTTACGTACCTAGCAGATAATAAATAACAGGTGTATTTAGCTGGTCTTGATCCTGAGCTTTGATTGGAGGATAGATCGTAACTACGGTACCCTGAATAATAAAACAACAGACAAATGTAAGAAAATATTGATTATAAATAGTACATCCAAATCAACGAAATAATAAAAAGATAAACAGAAAAAAAAATAACAATAAATAACAAATCTCATAAAAAATATGATTTAGAAATAAAAGTAAATTACAAAAAGATGACAGTTTCTATGATTATAAAAATATCAACTGATCTTGATGTATACAAGTAATTTAAATAATAGAACTGTTAGTCTTACCCTAGTTGCATTCACGTGTACATTTCCGTTGTAGAAATCGAAAGTGAAAGTAGGATTGAGGTCATCTACATCAACGATGTTTATGGTCAGTGTTGCACTGCTGCTCAAACTGGCTCCACGCACAGGATTATCCTACAAATGAATACATTTTCAAATGAATTGTTTGCTATCCTTCCCTCAACTTATTCGTCCTTCTTTCCAAAGTGACTGAATATGAATATTCCATTCCATGAACATCTGCACTCTTATAATGAATATGAAAGTTGATTTTATTTTCGCGTCTTTATAACTTAGTATGATGGTATAACTTCTATAAAAAGCGAATCAGATTTAAAAAACTGAGAAATCAGATTTCTGGAAAGGTAATTATTCCTCAAAGGGCCATAACTCTGTAAATATTGTTATTTTTTAACGAATATTACACTTGGTTTACGTAAATTGCTACCTTACTTGGATTTTCATCTGATAGGTTATTTGTGTCAGCAATTAAGTTTAAGTGTTTGTTTTTTTTTCAATACAGAGCTTTTCATCCTTTCTGAAGTTGTACAGAGATGCATTTACCGTGATTGAAGTACTTGAGTTTCACATGATCATCTAAATTTAAGAATAAGCAAAATCCCAAAGGTATCTCTAAGAGAACTTTGTGGATAGTTAACCACTTGATTATATGAGATATAGTAATATATAGTTATTTTCGGAAGGAACTTTAATGTAAAAGAATGTCTAAAAGGAATAGTCGCGACTCTAGGACCAAATAAGACGAGGTCTAGACAATAGCAGTAGTTTAAAGACAAAAATATCTTCAGACGTTATCATTATAGTAGATCAATATGACCGACCAAAGGAATCTATCGTTCAACTTTCTGAAAGAAGTCCAACATCGCAGAACATTCTGCTTGAATATTGGTATCTTGATATATCTTTTTAGACCCATTGTACCAAGTAACATTGAAACAATGGAAGAATGATGTTCAAACGTCAAGTGATGCACCTATACATGACGTATTAAGTTTAAACAACATCTACGTACAAGCTAAGATATTTTAAAATGCGATGAAAGATTGTACAAAAAAAAAACCACCAAAAAAGTCAACAGCATATTTTAAAACAAATTTTGATTGTGATACAGTTGTATAGCATAACAATGAATTAAACTCCATGCTTCTTCCTTCAAGGACCCGTACGTGATGCTGAGCCTAAAGTTTGAAACCAATAAGGCGACTGAGAAAAATCAAAAGTGATCGAAAGAAAAATCAAAATCTACATAGAAGAATCGTTACACAGTATTTCATGACATCTAAACACACATTTCGGCGTTGAATTCGACTAACCTTTGCTTCAATCTCCACAGTGATGGTGTTGAGTGATTCGTAATCGAAAAGTTTCTTGAGTTTGATATCAGGGTAAAGTGGGTATTCGATATCAAAGTAATCGGAGTAGGGCCCATTGAGGATTCTGTACGATATTTGATCATTTCCACCTCCTCTCTGGTCAGCATCTGTCGCTATAGCGCCATCAAACACCGTTGTACCAATGGACGCGTCCTGGAGAAAAACAAGCCTCAATGATTACTGATGTATAACGTTCTTGCTTAATTCTCATATACTCCATGTTGGAGAAGCATTTCAAATACCATAAAACAGATTCTATTATTCCATTATAATACACGATGTTCCGGAATTGTAGGCTTATTTTGCTTTTTGGAAGATGCCTCACAAGAACATTTGAGTACAATTTTAATTAGTGTCTGATAACTAGAATGTCCTATTTCCAACTGATTATCTTACCTCTGTGATGTTGACGACGTAGTTGGAGCTTGTAAAAATTGGTGGGTTATCGTTGACATCCTCCAGTATCACCCTTACAGTTAGCGGTATCTGTGAATGAAGATCGTGATCTGTTGTCCAAACGGCCAATACCCAATACACAAGCAATAAAATTATTGGAAAGAGTTAAAACATGTGATTTGCTGAAGCTATGTGAAACAAATGCATACAGATGATTGAACCTATGGGTTTTGTGCCCTGTAAGAAACATCCCAGAGCTTTAGAAAATAGTAATTACTAATTCCTGCTTAACATTGCATTGTAGCTGTGTCCATCGTCAGTATATTGTGACAGGAAGTGGTGTCCTGCTGGGTCTCTTTGGCACTGCAGGTTTATGTTACTTTGAAATCGGTATCAGTTCCACACTAAGCGGCCATACAGAAACATATCGCAACTATCCAAAGACACATAGTCACCTCGCAATATTGAAAGAGTCCGTGCTCAGATAATGCTTGTTGCTGATACCATGTTAAGGAAATATGAAATAAGATTCAAGGAAAGAGTTAGGTTATATAAGTCATGTTAACAAATGAGAAAAAACAATTCCATTGAATATGAAAAAATATAATAGTTTGTAAAATGCAAAATATTATATCATGGACATCAGAAATATTGAAGTCAAAAATGTTTTAGGTCGTTCAATTTTTCGGTGTCTTAGATAAATAGAGTACTTAAATACACATATCATTCAATATCAATGGATAACACCTGAAATACTAGTGAAACCGACTGATAAAACGGCATATCATGAATACTAATATTGTATCTAAAGTCAGAGGATATCACAAGAAACTGGAATTGGGACGGAAAATATTCTTACTGTATGAAAAAGTTCCACACACAGGGAGCAGGGCGTTTAGATAAAACTGTCTCAGATTAAGTGTGATTTACACGAGAATGTCAATAGTCTTTCAGCGCCACGTCTGCCAATCTATGATAGAGTGCTAAACGACACGCAAACTCCACGATACTTTTTCTCCATGTATGGAAATATAGTACAAAATCGCCCTTTTTAATGCCATTTTGGTGACCATTTACATATCTGTTTGTTACGTTCATTTTCAAGGGTGAACTGAGACAGCAGTAAGTCCTATTCGGTTTAGCTTTTGGTAAAGCCTAGCATATTTAAACAATATCAGCACCCAATCTTGCATAGGAAGACTATCTCAAATTATTGAATTATCAAAATTTCATTTTTTTGGTGAGTAGAGGCTTCTGGCACTGAAATGAATTCAGTAACTGGAAGTCATTTCGACCCTACGGCGGTTTCTGAAAACAACGGTAACCAAAATATACAACATGCTAATAATAACGTAGCATGTATCAGTGTTTTAAAGTATCACTCTGGCAGCTGTAAGAAACAAAGACACATTCAACCTTCACTTTAAATTTTCCTCAAGGGTGTCCAATATTTAGTGCTTAACCTTATCTAAATCGGAAAACTACGACAGACAAGACTCATCTAAAAAGCAATTCTTTCATCTTCGGTTTATGTCGCTTAAGGGATGGAAAGGAACATAGTTATGTATCTTCAGAAACACATCACTTTTTTTTATAAAGATTTCAAACTATCAGACTTACCGCAGGCAAGTCAACTTCGTTTATGATTCGGCAATTGACCAGGAGGGTTATAGTTCCAGTACCCTTATCGGTGTCAAGCTCCACCTGGAGAGTGATATTCCGGCTGACCTGATCTAGGAGGAGGTAAGGATTGGATTGCTGTGACAAATTAACTGTCTCAGGATCACCCAAGACGTCCAGTTTCCCCAGTACAGATCCTTTAATGAAATAATGATATTGATTTAATCATCACTTCAGCAACTGGTACACTACAGTGTAAATATAATATGTACACAACTAATCTTATACAATGGTCAAAGAAAATGCATCAAATTAAATGTGATATATGTAATTCATTCTCCGTTCAACTTAAATTTTGCCTGGAATCAGTATAAATTCCTGGTTACCACCACAATTTACTGACTGTTTTAGTATAATTAAATACTGTTTAAGTTTGGTTTTCTTCTTGCTTCAGTATTCATTCCTTGTTTCAGTACAGTTTACTGCTTGTTTCGGTTTAATTTACGACATTTTCGCAATATGATTTACACTTGTTTCAGTGTGAATTACGTGGTGCTTCAGTATGATTTATTGTATAATTTTCTTCATGTTTAGGAGTTACAAGTAGATGTTTTTACCAGTATCAAATATACTTCTTGCATCTGTGTAAACAAACAGGACACTGCTTGCATTAGTGTTAAACATCACAATAATTGGTAAGTGACAGGGTGTCATCGATGAAGCATAATTTTTTGCCCTAGTTTGTTTGAATTTGGGTTTGGATAAACTGTTGACATATCAGCTAGGTTTGTTTGTTGTTGTTGACTTTTTTCCTCGTTTTTATTGCTTTTGTATCAGAATAGTTAATGTATCAGTACATACCGACGGGTGTGTCCTCGGGTACATCAGTTATAAAACTCTCGTATCCTGTCGATGAAATGGAACACGGATCTGCAACTATAGAAATACAGAAATGATATGGAAAGAAATTATTATTATATAAACTATGATTGTGTATGTCTGTAACAGTAAAAGGCCAGATATGCTGAGTAGTTTGTTTATGTGTGAAATGTTCGATTGCTTGGAGATTAAGTCAAAGAATGTCAAGATATGAATAATAGCAACAATGGATGTTTCAGCGTGCATCGTCAGAGGACGCCGGCAGTCAATCAGACCGATACAAACATTCAACTGACTGTGATCATCGACAGGAAAAGCAAACAATGCATGAGACCCATATCAACGTTTCAGAGTGCAATTAGGACAGAAGTAAGAACAATTCTACACAAATCATTCGTAACAGGCCCGCTATGTTTAATGTCACGTGTTACGTGTAAGTTTATACACAACTATTAGTAGATTAGCAGACAGACTCCGCCGCTAGTTTATGTACATCCGGAACACATATATAGGTCATAACTTTCATCAGCATAGTGTCTGATGACAAAGAGATCCTTCTCCAGCAACAGACGGAGATAAGTACAGCATTTTGAATGTGACCATTTAATTGATTTTTGGGTAAGGTGTTTTTTTTACATTTAAAGGTGTACTCCAAATGAAGTATGAGAGAAAACAGGCATAAGCTTTTTTCAAGAACTGGGTCAATAAACATTGTTCTCATTGGTTCTACCTCGATATTCTCGTCAGTTTAAATAAACTCATTAAAAAGCGACTTTCCAAAATATTTTATATATTTAAATTTAAATATATTTAATCACGGGACTTTTCACTGCTTTTCTACGTGGAAAACTAAATATTTTAATCGGGCAATTTTAGTAGGAAATGAAACAATGTTTTGTGAAAAATATCAATTTTATATCATATGAAATTGACAACTCTAGTTTGATCCTGTTGTAATGTGCTCTTGGTCTTCCTGATGAAAGAAACCGAAATGCCAACATTTAACGCACGTGAGGTTTTTTCCGGTAAGTGACGTAACAGTTGTTCGTTTCAAATTCGAACCTCAGTCAGAAAAAAAGAGTAAGGTTTCCTTTTTCATTACCTGAACCTCTAATTAAATTAAAACTTCATAACACATGTTATGTTACAATGTTAACTTTTAACTACAAAAACGTTTCAAATGTGTCAGTCGTAATGGCATATGACCGGACCTAGGTGTGTGTCTTTATATTATACAATATATAGGACAGAAAAATAATTTTAGAGTAAGATGAAGGAAGTATAGTACAGGTAATGAATTGAAAAAGTAACAATAGTTAATTGTTTACAGAATTAATTAATTAATCATTTATAACGAAATTAGCATGCCATTGTAGAAACGTCTATTTCTCTGGATCAAACAATTGGATATAGAGAGAAATTCAGCTTCATCACACCGCATATGTATTTTTTTTTTTTTTTTTGCTTGGGATTTTTAGATAAAAAAATGAACCATCGAAGCAAAAACACCACTTACGGTAATACTTCTAGTGAGTAGAGTTTAGGGAATTGAGCCCGTATTATTGTTTTTGAAATTTGTATTGAAAGGTGCTATTCACTTGTGTGTCTTTTGTGCAATATCTGACTTGAGAATATCTTTTCAATGAGGAGAGACTAAATCATAAAGACTGTGCATTTCAACCAAAATTACAAGGTCATTACTTTATTCAAGAATCAAAACCACATGGATTTGGCGCAGGCTGCCTATTCTAGAAGATTTGATCGGAGTCAATACGACTTCATTCTCTGAGCCTATATTTCTGATGGTACAAAAACACATCTTATATGGGCATCGTCGTGGCACCAGCATCAGTCTGTGGGTGATGTGAAGCACGTTGCTTGTCCCATTATGTCAGGAAACTGACTTCAATAATAGCTTGCGGTAGTCATTTCTGATGTAACACGTTTTTTACCCAACATTTTAGTTTTTTTAATTCATTAGAGATACTGTAACTGATGTGATATTCAATCGTAAAAATGTGTTACGGGTTTCATGACGAATATGATGGGGAATCCCTCTCAATTGTGTTTCACAAAATTAATTTCAGCATGACAATAATTCCTCCCTAAATCTTGTAATCTTTGCTGTAATAGCTTTTTCCAGAGTTGTATGGACGGCTTCATTAAAGCTGTAGACTACGTATGGCGTGTGTAAAAAGGTGACATTAAACTTCGTCACAGTCCCAGTTGGATGCAACAAGCTGACATCAAATATCGCACATTTCTTGAATACGCATGCAATCGCTTGTAGTGCGATAAGCGGACGCAGTGGTGATATTTCCGTTTAAACCTTGATATTTGATTCGCAGATTAAAGCTATCCACCTTCAATGAAGTCACGTGACCAGCCATGTTCGCGTAGAAAAACATAGTTATCTGTCACGTGACGTATTGAAACGCTATAATACATCGTGAAAATAGTCATGCACAACTCATAAATGTTAGATACACAACAATTATTATAAAAGTAATCAAAAAGTCGTCTGTAAACAAGAAATCGGATGTCATGAAACACATCAAAAGTCAACATCTAGGAAACAACCAACAAAGAACATGATTTCCTTCCATTATAACCTTCTTATTTTACTACAATTGCAATTATTATACAATATGTTTAACAAAATATTACAAATGAATACCACATTTATATATCCGATAACTGATTATCGAATAGGCTTACTTGTTCAGGTCGGTTTGTTTTTCTGTTATTTTGAAAATATGAGAGATTTGAGAGTGCGGTAATGTCAACATAAGATAGATATTAGTCATCATGATTACGTCACTAAGATGTATATGGCATATCTCCGTAATGCCTATTTTATCAAAGAACTAAATATTTGACCAATGACATCAAATCGATTATTATCCGAGGAACCAATCACAGTAAACTGAGTTGGCGAAATACGTCAGCAGCAAAGCATATGAAAATAAAAAAGCATGGTTAGCACATTTACGAACGTATTGCGAAAGCAATTGTAACATGAAACATTATAGCTAATGATGATATATAGATATCGTGGAAAAAAGGACCAAAGAAGAAGCAAACAAAATCGAAAAATAAATCCAAATTTCTGCAAACTATTGCAAGTTTCTCTATGGAAATTTAAGTGGATGAATATTTCATACCTCCTATTCTGTCTGTTGGGAATAGTTGATCAGGAATATTTTTATCCTAAAGAAATCATGGGAGAAAAATTAGCCCACCGTTAAAAGGAAATAAATGTGTGTTTATTGGCAAAGTCGACTAGATGTAATTCGAGAGTTTGCACGTAAACATGTAGAAATTGTTGATAAAGATCTCCCCAAAGAGCTTGGGAAAGCAAATTTAGAGTGTCGTTAGGGAAAACAGGCGATTGTTTGCTGCCTTAACTCTGCTTTCATCACTTTTGCCGTCAAATATTTCACAAGCTAAATTCTTATCAAATAAAAACAATGGACGTCAAACAATCTGCTGTCGACCAGGGAATAGTTTGATCGAGATTGAAGAGTTTAAACTGTTCAACTATAGGTAGATTAATGTGACATGAGCTTTCTTTTTGAAAAAAGGTGTTTGGTCTGAAATCGAAAGGTTAACATGAAAAGAAGAAAATTATGTTAGACATTAATGCCCCTCATTCCAAATCTATAAACGTCATTATTTAATGAATTTGCAGAGGTCATCAAAAGTAACCTTTGAATCATTGGCCTAGCTAAGTGATATCATTAGGTGTAGACCAAAATGTCTTAATATTATGGAGTAAATATATTCCGAATCTGGTGAAATGCTCTCAAGATATAATATGAATTCAGAATTCGATAAGAGTGACTTTATATGCCCCCTCCTGTCTCGGCCTGAGGAAAGAACCCAAAGCTCTCCTCCAATAAGAAAGAGCTCAACTGAACACCATGTAGTGTCAAGGAAGAAATTAATGAATATTTGGCGAGAAGAGATCAGATCCCGAATTCAGCCCCCTCCTTGTGAAGCATGAAAAAGTTTCATCAGATACCAATATTACGCACTATATGTCTAGCAACATGCCTCAATAAAAACGGCACAGGCAGCGTTAAGAAGAAGCATATTATTTATTGTTTTGGCCTAAAACAACTTGAAGTAAAGACCCGTTTTTCGATCCCTACTGAAGATAATTTGTTTCCTAGTACGCTGAGATGTTTGAAGATTCAGACAAGCCATGGCTGTGTCTTTGGTTAAGACTTTAAACTATGTTTCTCCGGAAAGCATGTGACTAGGGCTCCTGTTTATTGTCCAGTGATGGTACGACCAGAAAGTACGAGGATCCACTTTACAACGACACTGGCAGTCAATAGGGCAAATAAATCATCAGTTCAGATTTGTGATGCAAACAGTGCAAATTCGATTTTAAACAAGAATATAAAAGATAAGATTTCTCAATAAGAGATACAAACAAACCCAACACGTCAATACCTTGTGAGTTTCGGAAGGATATTTTCTATGTTTCTGACACCAGTGAGACCAATATTGAATGTAATAATAAAATCAGCTCTTTGTGAGAAAACGACGGGGCATTGAAGAGACCATATTGTAAAACCAGATTAAAACTGACATAGAATCCAGGTGATACAACATTTTGTAATTGATATGTTATACCAATGGCTCTATATGTCAAAGACTATTAACTAACAAAGTGTTATAAGTGACAAGTGTTGTAGAGTCATCGTCCTAGTCTGACGTTAACGATATAAAAGCTAACACTGGCTTGATCACGAATAAAGACATTGGTTTCTGCAAGCGAAGTAGAGGGGCATAATTGTTTCTGTAATATAAATTATCTCTATGAAAGTGATAGTACGAAAACAACACAAAAAGTTTCTTAATCTTCACTTGTGGCTGAAGCAATCGACTGGCTGATGATATGTTGTTGTTATGCAATGGTCATTAAGGGCATACTGTACAAAACTCTTAGCCAAGTAAAAGTACAAACAGAGAGGGATAGATAGACAGGAGAGATCGCTACGCTTCATAATATGCTGGCATGCGTATTTTTTATATTTTTACTGCCATTTCAGTATACAACATGCAATCTTGCCATACTTTCTTGCACTTTACATATGAAACAATTAAATGATCTCTTAATAACTTTCATATTCCTTTATAAACACATTAACATTTATTTTACAACATTTGATAAATATGATTTTTCGACCAATATTAATTCTCTTGTTGGCCCGGATAAAGGCGCATGAGTGCTTACTGAAGGAGGAAACCAGGATCCCCGGGGAGAAACTACCTTGTGTCGGGCAGCTGAGCCGATACCTGTTCACATCAGTTCAGGGAATCGAACCTCGGACGCGTAGTTGAAAGGCGTGTGCGTTACAACGGCGCCACCAACCACTAACATTACTTAGATTTATATCACTATCTCAACGGAGGCAATATTCTAGTATTCCTGCACTAACAAAAAGCTTGCTATCAAAATGCCAAACCGTCTTTTCTTTAATCAAATCTGTTTTACGCAAATTCATTTTAAAAATACAAATGTTATATGTTTTCTTTTTTCATGACCAGGGGCGCGTTTCTCGAACATAAAGAGACTGGTATGATTCTCTTTATGTTGTGAATTGTATTTGTAGGACGGGAAATGACATGGACTTTGTTGAAGTGTATCTTGGTAATTATCTACAATTATCTGCATTCTATCCGTCTAATTTTATAAGTACGGCCGTTTGGTAATCCATGCTACCGAATGAAAACTGAACAAATGTCAAAGAAGTTTTTTAAATCAAGGTGAGATAAATTACTTGCACCTGTACAGGCATACAGAAGCATTTAAATTAATCTCTGCATAGATTTTTCGTGGGAACTCTAATTTAGACATGGATATGTCGATAAAGAACACATGTTTATTCTATCTGTGTAATAAGATATACTACCAACTGTGGCAAAAGTATGCTAACCGAGGTTTTGTTTTGTATATAATGACATTGCTTAAATAGCATTGCCGAATTACAATGTCTCATCAATTTAATCAATTTCCAAATCTATAATGAAGTACAAGTATCTCAGAAAATTAACAAATGAATGAATAGATAGAAAAAAGACGTGAAAGTCTCTTTTCATCTTTTTCGACTTTTTTCATTTAAAGGCATTTGCGTTGATCGCGCAACAATTGAATCTGCCATGTTCCGATAGTTGTTATCCGTAACTCGTAACTCCTACATATTTAAACTGGCATTCTACGGTCAAGTTATTTCACACCCGCAAACATTTGTGTTTGTCAAATAGGGAATGGAAGTAGCGAAAAGAAATTTAACCGCACGCAAGTAATGGACAAGCCAAACATAGCCCCTGTCAAATAGGAATATCACATAAAAGTACGGCTGACTTAACGTTCAGGGCAATAATTCGGAATCGTGTCGAGTTTACATAAGAAATAAAGGATTAAAGACATTGCAGTTAATTGACGTTTGTCTTTTCTCTTTCTTGCCAAGTTCCTGCATCTGCCTTTCGAGTTCAAAGACTTATGTTCTTGTACTCTCCTGTACAGAGCATGCGATTCTTTTCAGACAAGAAAAACTGATCACTGATGGTTCGTTTTGAAAACTTTAAAATTAAAAGGCTCTTACACGACAACAACATTAACTGAAATGCATTCTGTTGGCAGAAAATGAAGAAAAAAGTAGTATGGCTCTTTGGAAAAAACATGGTATTGCAAGCAGTCTTCCGCAAAACTATACATTATCAGAAATTTGAACGGGAGAACAGAGAATCAAATAGAAGATCGGGAAAGTCGAAAAATGTGAAAGGTCAGTTAATTTGGTTGGAAGCGATGACGTGAGAGACTGTATTGTCATCAATGCCGCATAGCTGCTGAATACGGAATTATGTTACCTTGTGAGAACAACTATGCAACAGAGCTAATAAAGTTTTTATAAGTTATACAATGAAATGTGGATTTTTTTGCAAAGATAAAGGGTTCTCTGCAAAATCTAAAAGAACAAGAACGGAAACGGGAATAAGATTCAAATATGAAAATAGCGGAAGAATGTGGGTATTATCGCAAATAAACATAAAGGAACAAATAAAGAGAAAACGCAGAGGCGGTGATGGACCGCAGGTGCATGATTGTGACGCGTACCTGTGGCTAATGAATAGTTCTTCATACGAGTGATGTATCTGTAAATTGCAGCACTCAATACCACGTGATTGTGTTAAAGGGCACTAATGACTGTCAACAAACCACTTGAGTGAGCTATTTATGATTACATTCCAAACAACCCCGCGATCCTATAAGTACCTTACTTATCACAACTGTACCAATAAAAGGATCGCTAAAACTTTATCAGTAATTGTAAACAAGACACAGATAGCCTTTGTCCGTCATTAAAATTCCGCC